ATGATAGTAATACTGATACCATTAATTTTATGATTTATTTCGTAGATGTGTAATAGAATAGATGTGTTTTTAATATATATGTATGTAGCACATAAATTTTTAGCATTACAGGTATGCATACTTATTTATGCAGCATTTATATAAAAAAAAATCATCAATTTAATATCACAAAACAATAATTAAAGCTATCGAAATATATCGAATCGCACGAAGCGATTAAAGAATGTAAAGTCTGTTCTTTATTTCTGCTCTCTGAACAAGTGCACATAGTGCAATAAATTGAAGCGAAATCAGAGGTTTCTCTCTGGCGAAATAAAATATATGTTTCACTTCAAGTGATGCATGCAGTGCATCAGTTCAGAGAATGCAGGAATAAAGAACGGACTTAAAAAATCTAATTTGGATATGTTGGCGAAGTCTCCGAGTCCGAAGAAGAATTTCCAGTGTTATCGTTAAAAGTTTATTTGTAAAATTGCATAGTGCGATAGCGGCTCATTTCTTAGCACAGTTAAAAATATCTTTCGGACAATCATGGTAGAGGAAATCCAAAAGAAGCTTCAAAATGAAGCCGACACGCTACGACAAATTCAAAAAGGTTAAGAAACGTTCATGATTATTTCTGGAAAGTGTTTAATATAAATTTTGCTCCTCCTTTAAATGCAGCAATGATCTGTAAAATAAAGCATCAAAATCGCCGAATGCGGATCTAAAATTTTTAAAAGTTTCTGACGAAATTAATCACTGTATTCACAAATATTTTCTGATCATATATTCTCAATTTTGTACTTAATTAATTCGACTATTAATTATTACTGGCTGAAGCTAATCAGTATTAGCAAGAATCATTAAATAAAAGAAAGCTGAAGCTCCTTGTTTATCTCTCATTGGGAACTTTTCAATAAGCGACACTATATAACATAGTGATCATTTCATGATCTTTATTTAACATTGGCATAAAGGATGTAATGATTCACTATGTTACATTGTGTCATCTGTCTTTTGTTTGAAAGCTCCTATTATTTTTGATATTATTGCTTTTTTAATTTGATTCTGTCTTCTTTGCTAGATGATACCAGTAATAGACAAAAAACCAATTATTATATATAAAGAAGAATCACTATGAATTTATTATATTTGCAGAATACAACAAGGCGCTGAGCCAGAGGCAGCAACTAGATGGTCAGCTGAATGAAAATATTATGGTGAAGAAAGAGCTAGATATTCTAAAGGAAGAGAACGATGTATTCAAGCTGATAGGACCTGTGCTCGTGAAACAGGAATTGTGTGAAGCCAAACAGAATGTTGACAAGCGTATGGATTACATCAAGTCTGAACTGTAGGTTTGCTTTTATTAGGGTAATATTCATAGCCTGTTCTTATTTCAAAACTGTCTTAATCCTTTGAGCACCAAAACTTTATAATAAAGTAACTTATAGAAGATCTTGTTTTCTAATAATTTTTGGCATTGTTAAATTTTGTTCTAGCCTCAGAATCTTAAAATTTTAGGGATTCCTTCCCTCCATAAATCATAGAAAAAGTAGATATATGACATCTTAGGGTGTTAACAGAAAGCTGACTTATAATCTTAATGAGCCTTCTACAATAAGCCATTAGTCATAAATTAGAAGTCAAAAGCTAAAAATTGACAACTGTGATTGGTCAATTTTTAGCTTCTGATTTCTGATTTATAATTAATGGCTTATTGTAGAATGACCATAAGACTTAAATCATAAGATATTGTCTTAAGGTTATACTTCAGTCTTGGCTTTCTGCCAAGACCCTTAGATTGTACTCCAAGACAATTTTAAATATAAAAATTAACTATAAATACTGGCCTAAATAAGAATCAGTCATGTAAATACTGATCTAGAAATCGAACTGCAACTGTTTCGGATTTACATGTAAGGAAATGAATTTTAGGAAACGTGTGGACGACTTGATGTCTACCCTAGACAAAAAGCTGGATTCACAGAGGGATGTGATAGATAAATTGCAGCAAGCGTTTCAACAGGCCCAGATTAAAGCATCGATAAACCAATCGAAATCATAATATTGTACAGATCATGACTTTGTGGAATTATTACATTTGTATGATTAATCACTAATGCTTAAGTGACATTAAGTATAATCTCTTCTAATTCGGTATGAATGTCATGTTTGGTTCATACATTTATTTATACTAGACAATTATTAATATAAAGCTTGGCTACGTGTCATAATCATTCAAGTGCAATTTATGTAAATTAAATACTGTATAAACTCTCTTTCCACAATATTCTCCCTTTCCTCAAAATCGATTCTTACATGATTAATAAGATGACTGATTACTTTCTAACGTAATGTAAAATTTAGCTTCAATTTATTCTTTATCTTAGTCTAATCTTTAGAACATTAGGAAAAGATAAAAAGTAAGTTAAACTGACAATAAGATTGATCTACATTGATAGAAATATGGATATAAAAATTATTTCGAGATATGTAAACACACATTTATGAAACTGCTATTAATTATTGAAACTGCGCGGTGCGTAGTACATGGAACAATGGAAAGTGATGGAGAATCGAGAATCAACATGGCGACGATGTAGTACCGCCTGTCTTGAAAGAATTGTAAGTAATTTGAGAATTCTCGTATGGCTGTTAATTTTCAGCTAATTAAGAATTTTAACTGGTAAACACTCCAAGAACGAAAATGTTGTTAACATTGAAGCCGAATCACAAAAAGCATATGCTGTTCCTAGTTGAACAATCGTCACCAGGTAAGAGCGAATTATCTGCCGATGAATGAATTTGTTTCACAGAGAAACGTAAAGTGAAGCATATTCCCTCCGTAGTTTTACAGGATTTCTGCAAATTGGCTCTGGATTATTTGCAAAAAGGCCCGAATGTCAAAGTATATAACGCTGCTGCTCGTACGTATTCGGATAACCAAATTTAATTTTGCAAGCAGATTTTGAAATTATCTGTTAAAAATATTCTGCAAATTGTGTTCGTTGAATGTCAGCAGAAATACAAAAATCAGGGTTGTACTTTATATTTCACATTTTACGTTTACATGTTTTACAATTTTTACATATTTATATCAAATTTACATGAATCTTTTTTATGTAGACAATATAAGCATTATATAAAATAAAAATATATATTGGATAACGCATAAAAAGAAATTGTTTTGTAATTATTAATATATCTGACTAGAAATATTGATAAATAAATATATATAAGCAAAATAGAAGTTTTATACAATCTAATGCAAAGATAAAGAACATAGGCTTCGATAGGCGTCATTTCTACAAATTGTTTACATGTGACATATAAGACATAAGACACTTATTTTCTTTTTAGTTAAATTATTAAACTTCTTGCAGACTTCTCTTTTTTTTCTCCAACATGGAAAGAAAAAAGAAAAAAGATAAATCGTACAAAAAGTTTAGTTAAAAAAACAAATCTGAGGTCTATTTTTTTAGCTCAAATAGTATGTGTGTACATATACTTTAATGGCATGAATTTATAGTGAAATAAATATATATTTGATATTTGGCGAAAGCGAGAAATAAAGTTCTACTGCAATAAAAACTCTATAATAGAACATCTATAGTTTATATAGTTTATATTAGTTGCATATATGTAGATATAGATTAGTAGATATAGATGAATAACGTACAATCCTGATCAAAATTTTCTAACAGAATGTAATAACAGAATAATTGCAGAAATTAAATCACATCTGCCATTTAAATGATGAAATTTACTTTATTTAATCCTTTTGTCAATGCATGAATATACAGGTATATATTTATATGAATTAAAAACACAAGTTTAACACAAACATAGATAATGCTATAATGATCAAAGTGACGTACAATTGCTAACTATATAAGTTATCTTGTTCTTGTTTTAGAAAAGTTAAATGTTGAGCTGGATGTGATTAAAAATTCGGTAGAAGGGTTGGTCAATCTTTTGTTGGAGAGTTGCAAATACAAGGTAAGATTTACCAAAGTAATGCAAAATAATAGGATGTTTACTGAAAAAACTTGGAAAATCTGAAAATTTTGAGTTTTATAGCTAAGCACGGAGGATTTTCGAGATTCCATGGTCGCCTTAGGTTTCACGGAAGACAAGGAAGCGATATTGAGTAAATTATACAGCATTAAGAAGGATGAAGTCTCGGATGCATTGGAAGAGATTGGATTTAAATTGTCGAGATACCATGACATGGAATGGAGATTTGAAGTACAGGTAGCGGAGTCTTCATATCCCTCGTTTTTTCCTCAAAGCGTTTCAATTTATAATTGAATTATATTACTCTGCATTATAGATTGCATCAAGATCCTTATTGAAACAAGTTGCACCACTCATCTCTCTTGACTTATCGCTGAAGAATCCCGAGAATCCCGAGGAAATTGAACACATTCTGCTACAAACCGATCCAACTAATTTACTTCATATAACTCAAGAGTTAGAGGAAGCTCTGCAAGAAAGTCGCAGTCAACATATTAGGAGAATTTCAAGAACAATAAAATGAAGCTTTTTGTAATTTGTAATTATATTTGAGACAATTTGTGAATATAGTGTGTAATATATAACTATATATAAAAATAGATATAAATATAAAAGATTGATAAGTATAAAAATATAAAGAATAAAAAATTTTTTATCTATAAAAAATACTAAATGAATATAGCTCCATTATTTAAATCACATTTGTTATCAGCTTCTGTAAAGTTTCATTCCGATCGGATTATTCCAAATAATAAGTGACAGTAATTGACATGCATAACATACATATTACATTCATATACATTATACTAAGGGGATAGGTACATTTACATATGTAATTGGATGATTTTATTGGATTTCTATGCCTATATAAAAGAAATTTGCGCTCTTCTACTTATACTATAACAGTTACTATTACAAGTTATTCTTTGTCACAGACTATTGATGTTTTAAAAAAATTAGGAGTTTTGCCTCGAATTCAGAATCTAGATCCAGCAGAAACAGTTGTATCTTGAAACATTCCAGTGTCAAGAAGTATGCATATCTGTTATTTTTTATGCATTATATCTAAATGATCCATACTTAATTACCAATATTTTGCAGAAAATGGAGTCCCTTATTACAGTAAGTACCGAAAATTTGACTATTTTCTCTGAGAATTCCACCATGGCGTTTGCTGATATAACAAGGACGATCGGACCTCGAGCTATGCAGCAAATTATGTCTTTCAATAATAAAACTGTAGTGAATAAAGTACCTCCGGATATGATGCACTTAATCGATCCACATTGGTTACTTTCGATTTCTCTGTATTCCTAAACCATTCGTATTTGCAAAGTAAATCTCATTAAACTCTGGAATTACAGGTATCAGTTTCCACCGATAAATCCAATGTGGCACAAAATTCTAGGCCTTGTGATGATTGTGTTAGGATTTATGGGATGGTGCGGTAATGGTGTTGTAGTATATATATTCTTGATGACACCCTCCCTAAGAACACCGAGCAATCTTCTAATAGTAAATTTGGCATTTTCGGACTTTATTATGATGATCATTATGACGCCTCATATGATGATCAACTGTTACTATGAGACCTGGATATTAGGTAATGCAAACTTTTTCTTTCCATTATACTAATTATTGCATTTGTAATATAAGTTTAAATTGATAATGTGTAAATAATGTATGAATTAATTTTATATTAAGGGCCGCTAATGTGCGATATGCATGCCATGGTTGGTTCCTTATGTGGATGCGCTTCAATATGGACTATGACTGCTATTGCTTTGGACAGATACAATGTTATAGTAAAGGTATATGTATAATATACTCTTATATTATTATTAGTATGTGAACAGAAATCAACATACCTAAATCTCTGTAGGGTATGGCGGGAAAGCCACTCACCATCAAGAAAGCATTACTCGAAATTTTAATAATCTGGCTCTTCGCTTCAATATGGGCAATTTTACCCATAGTGGGATGGAATAGGTAATATTAAGATAATAAAAAATTATGATTATAAGAAAATATGCTTTACAATAGAGAAGAGAATGTTGTAATATATTTTATAATGTGATTAGATATGTACCAGAAGGCAATATGACCGCTTGTGGTACAGATTATCTTACTAAGGATTGGAGTTCCAAATCATATATCTTGGTGTACTCGATATTTGTATATTATATGCCGCTGCTTATTATAATTTACAGTTATTATTTTATCGTTTCGGTAAGAATATTCATACAATACAGCATTAAAAAAAATTTAATGTATATCATAAATACATTTTTTAATTAATAGACAGTAGCTGCTCATGAAAGAACAATGAGAGAACAAGCTAAGAAAATGAATGTTCAATCTTTACGATCTGGAGATAATCAAAATATAAGTGCAGAAGCAAAATTGGCAAAGGTGAGACAAAAAATATATTAAAATTATAAATATATTATGTGCGCTAAAATATTGAAAGAATGATTTGAAGAAAGTCAGGATATACATTCACTTTATTAATTACAGGTGGCACTAATGACCATTTCTTTATGGTTCATGGCTTGGACGCCGTATCTGGTTATTAATTATGTCGGTATTTTCGGTATTGCTAAAATTAGTCCTCTTTTCACCATCTGGGGATCTCTCTTTGCAAAGGCAAACGCTATATATAATCCAATTGTTTATGGAATAAGGTAAATGAGATTTTTAAGCAGGATATAATCATTAATGTTCTTGTATTGCATTAATATTTTTTTACTCTGCACAGTCATCCAAAATATAGAGCGGCATTAAAGGAAAAATTACCTTTCTTTGTATGTGGCTCAACTGAAGACCCATCTGTGGCTGCGAAAACTGCAGAAACGTCATCTACAACTACAACGTAATTCCAAGAAAACAATGTATTGTAATTTCTATATATGTGATATATGTTTAGGGTATGTTTCTCAAGGAAACGAATCAATAATAAACGCGCGCGCGCGCGCGTGTGTGTGTGTGTGTGTGTGTGTGTGTGTGTGTGTGTGTGTGAGTGAGTGAGTGATAAATGTAAACGTATGAAACATTGGTAATTTGTAAAGGCTAAATAATCGGCGATTATGCAAAAAAACATATATGGAAACTTTGAGTGAGCTGATTCCATGATATGCTGTGATGAATTCTCATTTTATTTCAAATCTTCTCCTTTGTTCTTTATTTTTATTGCAGATGATTAAATATTTACAGGAATAAATAATAGAAGGCATTTAATACCAATTGTATAGATATAGGATATTATTCAAATCATTTGGCATTATCATGTAATGATTTAGTAGAATATCTATAGGCTCTTAAGATATAATAAAAAAAATACTAATGCATAGTATTAGATACGTGTATACAGCGTGTTTTATTGTAGTTAAAATAGCTAATTTTTGGAAATTATGTGACTTTAGAGAAAAATGTTTCAAACAGAAGCTGTATAACTTTAAGAGGAGCATAAGATACTATTGGTTTGACCTTAGATAGTTGTTTAAAGATCACGTGAAGGGCATCTTTAATTTTTTAAGTAGAATCCTCTATTTTTTTTCTTTACATATTCTTTTAGCCAAAAAAACAGTATATAATGAAATTTATTTTCGAATTGTGAGACTTGAAACATTTTTTTGTAAAAATGAAAATAAGAAGTCCAATAAACGATTGAAGATTGAAATGAATTCATGTGTTTTCAGAAAGACGCATTCGCAAACATTGAAATGAATCCTTTTTCAATTCCAATGCATTTTTATTTATTTATAGAAATTGAAATCTCGTTTACTGGGTAGATAGCACTATCTTGTATCCTTTTTAATCCTCGTACAACTTTCGTCTAAAACTTTCTCTAAAGTCTCATGATTTTCAGAAACTGATTGTTTTAATTAAAATAGGACATCCCCCCCCCCCCGTATATGTACACACACGTTAAAAAATTTTTGTGATTGAATAGAATTCGTTTGTGATTGCATGCAGTATCTATTTAATTCTATAAAATTAGTTACAGATATTGTTATAGCGATATATTACCGCATACCGCATATAATGACGGTATAATTTTTAGCAATTATATATTTGCTAATTCCAAAGTGACATATATTTCCAAGAGATGATAAAATTTACAACTGCGTTATGAGCCATTTATGAGAGATTCGTCTTGTGGTGCGGCCGAATCATACAATGTTTCATAAACTAACAGCTATAATGAAACTGTTTAACCCTCGATTTTTCTGTTAAAATTTTTCGCATATTCGCTTGGCTGAGGTTCTCGCTCTAATCACACTTTTTCTTATATAAAATATCACGGTTAAATATATTCTCGTTAGTGACGTATCTCACTTGCACACGTTATTTAATGCAATTATTTACAACTCATGATGATGCGATTTCTGTACGAGAATATAATAATATTTCACGGCATTTACATTTATTTAGTAAATGTATTCCATCGTCAAAAAAATCATTGTTATTTTATGCGACAGATTTTTCGCCTTCTGTAACTGTGGTAGTCGTGGACATTGTGTCCGCGCCAGGCGCCGGCTCGGTGGCACACGCCAGAGATGGGAACCTTTGGAAAAGAGCAGCTCGATATTTGGGATGGCTGGAATCACATAGAAAAAAGATTAGTTTCGCTAGAAGCATGTGAGAAAATTCATCTACTTTATCGTATTCTATCTGTAAAAATACATTCCAATGACGACATACTTCAGAAAATGGAGTTGTTGCGATTTACCTGATACCGTACACAATGGGATTGTACACAGCATTGGCTTTGGCAAAGAGAGAACCCCAAATTGTGAAGAGCGGACTGATTTTAGTCGTCTCGAAGATGCCTGCGAAGTTGATGATTAGGTATGGAGTCCACGCCATAAACCACAAAGAGATGGTCATGAGAGCTACCTATAATTAGTAACATTGTTATAGCGATCGTATAAGTGAGAACAATTCGCGAGAGTTTACAAGCAAGAAGGCTTGCCTTCGCCAGTTTGCATTCGGTACTGGTGCTCTGGTTTTCGGCAGATCGCAGAGAAGCGACGTTCATCTTCTTCGCTTGCTCACGCATGTTCTTTTCATGAGCGGCGACCGCTTGAATGATGAAGAAGTAGCTGTAGATGATGAGGAACAGTGGCATAAAGTAGACAAAGATGCTATAGAACAGGATGTACGATCTGGATACTATGTCCTTGGTTAAATAATCAGTACCACAGGCAGTCATGTTGCCTTCAGGCACATAGCTATGGAAAGGAAATGTATGTTGCTAATAATTCATAATATTCTTTAATAATAGTTAATATTATTTTAGACTTTTGCATCTCACCGATTCCATCCGAACAGTGGAGCGATTGTCCAAAGTATCGTAAAGAGCCAAATAGCGAATATACGAATGAGGGCGCCTTTAATGGTCATTGGCTTAGCAGACAAGCCTTTGACAATTACGTTATACCTATCGAATGCGATCATCGTCATCGTCCATATGGAGCCACATCCGAACAGGGAGCCCGTCATGCCGTACAATTCACAGAACAAGGGTCCTAGCACCCAAGTCTCATAATAGCAATTGATTACCTGTGCACATCGTTAATTGAATATACAGGTCACACCGAATATTATTGTCGTATTGAATATTTTGAATACTTTGTATCATGAATACTTTGGATTAGAACGCACCATAGCTGGAGACATCCACAACATCATTAAGAAATCAGAGATGGCAAGATTGACGACAAGCAAGTTGCTCGGAGTGCGAAGACTCTTGGTGGTGGTAAATATGTATATCACCATGCCGTTACCGATGATAGATATTGTGCCAAGGACGCCGATAGCGAAACCAAGAAGTCCATGCCATAGAGGATTCATCGGCGGGAATTGATACCAGTGAACATCGACCATGTGGAGCATCTCCGGTGGCACTTTGTCGACCACTGTTTGATTACCAAATCCGCCTCCTTGTGCTGCCCATGTGTAAGCTGCATGGCTTGGTCCAGATACGAAAGACATAGTGAACTGCGAAAGTCTCTATATTAATTAATATTCTCTTATGCGAGATTACTTATATACTATTTATAATCTGGACTGCTTAACGTTGAAAAAATTTGAAAAGAAAAAATGCAAAACAAAGATAGGAAGTTATTCGTCAGCAAGTTTGAGCTTTACTGAATTTTCACGTTTCCTTGCAGATAATTACAGCAAGAAAATAAATTCATGACTTGCCTCCGTTCTACTTGGAAAAAATCGTCGTGGTGAACGAACTAATCCAAGTAAACTGTAGGATCGTCGGCGTGATGTAACGGCCTATCCGTGAAGACGCTTGCAGGTAGAGTTCCCTGTTCGGTCCACCATCGGCTGTGGCTCGAAGCTGCGCGATGACAAGCCGCGCTTAAATATACGTCGCGAGATCTTACGTGTTTGCGACTATATACAACACTTTTCTAAGTCGGCAAACAGTCTTAAGAAGTTCTCTATTAGATTACGCAGGATTTGGGAATACCTTGAGAGTACCTTGAGTTGCCGCACATAGAAACCTTACGAGAATGCAACAAGAATAGAATGCGGAAAATCACTTGATGATACAGATTGATCAAATTCAACAATTCAGTGTCTAATCTTAATAAATTTTCTAATTGTTAAAGAATCAGATTTATATTAAAATAATACTGTAAATAATTTTAATTTATTTTATATGTTTTATAAATTTTAGTTTATATATTATATATTATAATTTCGAAAGAGAATAGATTAGGAGAAAATATAAATTGTAAATACAAATAAATATATTTATATATAAAGTTTTATTTTATTTAAAGTTCCTGAGTAGTCATTACAGAAGAGCCATTTGAATCATAACGTTAAAAATGACACATAAATTTGTGTTACGCGTCATTTGTAAATAAAGGCAATTTAGATAAAATGATAAAATCGCTTTAAAACAATCGTAAAAAAAATGAACGAAAGCTATCCTTATCTTTCCTGACAGTCAGTATATTTATATATAACAAACTCGAAGAACTCGTCAATTTCGAACGAGATACTGCGCGATTAAATTCAAACGCAATCGATAGTAAGATCAAAATTTATTAAACTTCGAGATAATCACGTGGGAAATTCGAAAGCGATTCAAAATGGCCCGAGCCGGGAACTGCCGAGAAGCAAATATTAGTAGAACATAGAGTTGATAGCGGTTATGTGCATCCCGCCATAAGTGCTGGACGATGATGGATCGGTGATAGCATCGTGATGATTCGTAATATTTATATCAACGACAGATACTTTCAAAAATCAACACAATAAGTACGCAAAAGGAAAACAAAGTGCATTTCTTTCGCGCGCGAATATTTTTAACGATTATTATATATAATCAACAGCCATGGAGGAGAGCCTCGAGGACAGTTTGCTAGACGATGGGGATGGCGTCGGGGAACTGACGGCGCAGACGGTGCTCCAGGAAATCGAAAACGCTTGGATGAACGAGAGGTTCGCTCCAGAGATCTTGCCGCATCAGTCCGACTTGGTGGACTGCATGCTGCAACAGATCGCGCACATGGAAGAGAACATCAAGAGGTTAGACAAGAACGATCTGCGAACGTTAGTCCACCGGATGGAGCTCGATCGGATCAAATACATCATCAGCAGCTACCTGCGAGCACGCTTGGAGAAGATCGAACGATTTACGATTCATATCCTGTCGGAGGAGACAAATAGAAGTCCGGAGGAGGCTTATTTGACTCCAGGTGAGTTGCGTTTCGCTAAGGAGTACCTGGCCAATCTGGAAACATTCTTCAAAACGGTGGCTTTACAACATATGCCATCTAACTTTCAGCGATTTGAAGCGAACAAGTTTACCATTAAACCTAATCTGCAGGCGCATGTGTTTCTACGTGCTAATCAAAGGGTTACTGGCATAGTTCTGCCTGGTATGTTGAATGAAGAAATAGACTTTGAGGAAGGTTCGCAGCATATCATACAGTATAGTGCTGTAGCGAACTTGGTCAAATCTGGTGTAGTGCAGTTGATTTGACCTGGAATTGCAGTTCTTTATTTTTCTTATTTTAGATCAAGGAAACATAGTTAAGAGACAAAAAAGTTTGTGATATATTTTTGTATGTATCAGTATATGTACCTCTATTTATTATATCATTATAAAATCTCAATATAATTATTCATTAAAAAGAAATCTTTAATAATTTTTTTCAACTTCATATAGAATATCAAAATTTATATTTTTATTTGGCTATCGACAAGTAACATATTCTCTCATTTCCTATATGGAAATTTAACATTGTATACAGAATTAGAAAGTAATATGTTACTTGTAATTATTACAAATACTTTTTTTATGACTAATGAATACATCCTTTGTACATGTACAATACAGCCTTAGATCAAAATAATAGGCACCTTATTAAACAGTATTTAAAGTTTTAATCAAAAATTAATATATGATATTTCCTATAAATTATTCTTTGTTTCAAGATCTTTTTAAATTTATGTATAATGTAACAGAAAAGAATAGTAACCGTAACAAGTTACTTTTATAAAGTAACTTTCTTAACTTTGGATGCAGCATTGAACATATTGCATTCCCCGATAATTAAATTTTTCAACAGCCATTTAACTATCGATAATAGCATTGTAGACTTATATTGTAATATATTGTACTTTGTCATTATTTTTCAAATGAAATTTGATATTTGTATGATATTCAAAGTTATAAAGTGGTATCAATTCTGTTAGAAGTTCTTTAAATTTTTTTATAAAATGCTATTTATAAAAATTTAATAAAGGCCTAATTGTATGTAATTAAAAAGAAAAATGATAACTTTACTTTGCAATATTAACACAAATAAACGAAGAAGTCATATTCAATCAAAGAATCTTGATGTCTAATAATATTTTTTTGTAAATTTTACAATTTCCAATTCAAGCAAATTGTTCGTCGATTATTTCTTAAAACACAATTGTAAATTGAAGCTGGAATACGAGATATTACAAATTAAATTGACTTCCATCTGGATCTTCCTATATTTTGTGAGGGCATTTTACTAATTCTATCACCGAAGGTAATAAAAATATATAATATTATTTCTTTACACACAAACGTTTATAAAAAAATAAGTACAAATTATTTAAAATAATTAAATATTACAATCTAATCAGTTTTCAGTAAAAATATTGCCTAAAAAAAAAAAAATAAAAACTGAATTATTTAAATTAAAATTAAGTAAAAAGAAATAAGTAAATTTGTTTCTTTAACACGGACATACTTCTAGAGTAAATCACAATAGTTCATGCTGTTGTTCATACGCCTGTAAACAAAATATTACACTTAAATATCTTTTTAATGTTTTTTTCTCATTCTTTATCATCATGGAATTGATTTACCTCTTTGGCACATTGTTTAAGTTGTTCTGTCATCGCCTTTCCAGTTTCTTGCACCATACTGCTGAAGTGACCTTGTTCGTTTTGTAACAAAATGTATGGATGATCGAATTCTAATAATTGACCTTGATCCATCGTCAGTACTTTATCGTTGTCCATTATCGTGTTCAATCTGTGCGCTATTGTTAATACTGTGCAGTTTTCGAATTTCTTTCGGATCGTAGTTTGTATGAGTGCGTCCGTCGTAGGATCCACATTGGCAGTAGCTTCGTCGAGCACAAGTATTTTATTATCTTGTAAAATCGCGCGAGCTAGGCAAACCAACTGTCGCTGTCCGACGCTGAAGTTACTGCCGTCCTGTTCGACACGATAGTCTAAAGAGTCTACCATGTGTTTTAATTTCACTTCTTCTAAAACACTCCACAGATCGGCGTCATGAAACTTATAAAAGGGATCGAGATTATTTCGAAGCGTAGCGGAGAATAAAACCGGTTCTTGCGGTATTATGGAGATTTTATTTCTCAAATCGTGAAGCCCAATCTTCTTCGTATCAATGTTATCAATGTAGATAGTGCCGTCAAGTTGTGCCATGCGAAACAAAGCGGCAATTAGAGATGATTTCCCGGCTCCGGTACGACCCACAATTCCAATCTAAAAAATTATATAGAAAGAATAATTTAGAATAATTTAGAATATAATTATAATTATTTAGAAAGAGATTATTTGATAACGGATTTCATTTGTACAAGTAGTAATTACTTTCATGCCAGGTTTAACGACAAAACTTAAAGATTTAAGAACGGGTAATTCAGATTCGGAATATCGAAGATAAACACGATCGAATTTAATTTCTCCCTTAGAGGGCCAATTACTCGACGGTTTATCTTTGGGATTACTCTCAAATGGGCCTTCTTTCTCGAGCTCGGTGAATTGCATTATTCTTTCTACGCTCGTCATCTGTGTGATCGTCTCTGCGGTTTGACGTATTCCGTACTGTACCATACCGCATAAAATGAGCACTTGCGAAATAGCTAAACCGACATGTCCGGCGAAAGTGTTTTCTAGCAAAGACAAAAAGATCTGTATTCTATTATTACGAACTCTGTAATTAGTAATTGTATCAAATACTTACCATCATTTAATGCAATAAAACTATATGTAACAATGGCGATAAATCCGATAGATACTATGTCCAACGCTAAACCGAATACTGTGCCAGTTGCGATAATTAGTGAATAGGTGCTAGTGTGTAAATCTTGATGTTCGTCAAATTGTTTGCGAATCATCTCCTGAGCACCGGTAGAACGTATCGTCGTCAGACCCGACAATGTAGAATTTACATGTGAAAACATGGGACTCTTCGCTAAAAATTTAACTGAACGTTAATTTTAAACACGAAAGATAGCTTCAGATTGTCTAAAGAAGGAAAGTAATTTACCAATTCCTTCCAACCGTTTTGTGGTTCGCGCTATTGGAAGATAAATTTTTCTTATTATGCCAAACAAGAAAATCATAATGATTACAGCGAATATAATCCACCAGTTGATAATAAGTACTTGAATCAGAATTCCAATCATCACCATAAATATTTGAATGGATGTTGTCATAGTGCTGGGCAATATTTCATCTACTGCGCCCATGTCCTTTGAAAAACGATTTAAAATTCGACCTAGGAAAGTACAATTCTTATTTATTTGTATCCTGTTACGTTACATTAATAATTGCTGATCAAACACTAAGAACCGGTTATTCCATCTTCGGATAAATTATGTGATAATTTACCTATATAATTTACCTATTGAATAAACAAAATAATAAAAAAGTAAGAATATAAGAGAGTTAAGCCGGCGGAACATGATGTTTGATTTCCTGTTGAATTTTTAGCTGGATTGGAATCTAGCTATCATTTTGACTGCAGTAGTGAGTAATGCCAGCATCGCAGCCAATACGATGGCAAGATTCTAATAATCCAGCAAAAAAATAAGCAGCGTATGGCGCTGGCTTAAGAGAGTAAGACAGTGAGCTAAAATTTACCGAAAAATGGAACAACTCAGCCTAAGTCAATATATAGTCATATACTTTACCAGATGGATTATTATCAAAGAACGACATTGGTGCTTTAAGTACGCACGAAAACATGAAATTATGTAAATTCTTGCTGGCATTCATACATATCTTGACGAAAATTAAATTTTTTATTGTCGTTACTACAATGCTGGTAGCAATAAAACCTCCATAAATCCATAAAGCCATATTCGTATCGAGATAGTATATATTTTCATCTATAATTTTGATCTAATTTGAAATAAAGTAGTAAAACATTTACGATACAATTACAAGACTGGATATATTGAAAAGTAGGAAATACTAACAGTTATTGATAGTAAAATTTCGTGACGATATAGTATCATTGGACATATCTTTTCTATAATAGTCTGTAGTTGTTACAAATTCCATGAATTCGTTATTAATATTCGATGCATTTTCTATTTGTCTAGTAGATCTCAGTGTGGAAGAAAGCATTGTAAAATTGTTCACTGCACTATGCTGTAGTTCGCGCATAGCTTTGATACGCATCTCTTCTTGTCTGGTCCTGTATCATAAAATTTATTACATCTAGGAATAGATTCTTCCTCATAAAAACTTACCAATAACCAACCCAATAGTCACAACCATTGTTTCCAATTTGTCCGAAAATCATGCAAAACAAAAAGAAGATAATCATGATGATCGAAGCACCGCTACGCAAATATTTCCAATAAATCAATTTTGATAAACTTCCTTTAGCCAAAAGCTCTTCGGTTTCTTGAGGCTCGGCTTTCTCCGTATCTTCATCATTACTGTTTGAAATTATGTCAGACATAGGATTTGCGTCAATTTTTAATGGTTCCTTCATCTTTTCATTAACTTCTTCAACTTTCATTAATATTTCCAAAAAAATCGCACGTTTTTCTTGAAGGGCTATAAATGTACCTTCATCTTCAATTTGACCCTTTTTGAAAAAATTCACGTAATTAAATTTCATACACTTATAATAATGTGCAAATGTATTCACATAAGTAATTATACGCGCGCGCATGTGTGTGTGTGTGTGTGTGTGTGTGTGTGTGTGTGTGTGTGTGTGTGTGTGTGTGTGTGTGTGTGTGTAACGTAATATTTTACATACATTATTAAGGATAACAATGTAATCGCATTGTTTCAAGTACTGCAATTGATGAGTCACGAGAATTCTTGTTTTGTTTCGCAAATAATTGTTTATACATTCATTAAATAAGTGTCTACCAACGTGAGAATCAACAGCAGATAAAGGATCATCGAAAAGATAAATATCAGCATCTCTGTAGACAGCTCTATAAATAGCAGATTATGTAAAAATATGTAACACTGTTTTGCAAGTGCAATATAACAAATTTACCTTGCTAGATTAATTCTAGCACGTTGTCCACCGCTGAGTGCCATACCTCTTTCACCGACTAAAGTCTTATCACCATATGGCAGTTGTTCGAAATCTTTCATAAGAGCGCATACGTTTACAACATTCTGATATTTAACGTTATCATAAGGCTGACCAAACAAAATGTTATTTCGCACTGTACCAGTAAACAGCCAAGGTTCTTGGCCAGCATATGATATTTTGCCATTTATTTGTATTTGACCTTGCAATGATTTCAATTCGCCTAAAATTGCTTG